GGACTCTAGTAGATTCATCCCCTAGGATGAAAGCAATTGGTTGCAAGTGGATCTATAAGAAGAATAAAGGGCCCCAAGGTAAGATGGAGACCTACAAGGCTCGTCTTGTGGCGAAAGGGTACACTTAGAAAGAGGGAATCGACTATGAGGAAACCTTTTTGCCCGTGGTCATGCTTAAATCCATTAGGATCTTGCTAGTTGTAACATCACACCATGATTACGAGATTTAGAAAATGGATGTCAAAACTATGTTCCTAAATGGAGATCTTACTGAATATACATGCAGCAACCGCAAGGGTTCATTGTTGTAGGTCAGGAACACATGGTGTGTAAACTTAATCGATCCATATATGGACTTAAGAAAGATTCTAGGAGGTAGAACATCCAGTTTGACTCTACCATCAAATAGTTTAACTTTGAGCAGGATCCAAATGAGCCCTGTGTTTATAGGAAGATAGTGGGAGATAAGGTTACTTTCTTGGTTCTATATGTAGATGGCATTCTACTCATTGGGAATGATGTAGAAATGTTAACTATAGTGAAAGTATGGCTTTCACAGCAATTCTCCATGAAAGATCTTGGAGAAACCTCTTATATCTTGGAACTTCGACTCTATAGAGATAGATCGAAGAGGATAATAGGATTGTCCCAATCTGCTTACATTGACAAGATTGTCAAAAGATATAGTATGGAGAACTCCAAGAAAGGAAATGTTCCTTTCAAGCACGGAGTCATTCTCTCCAAGGGCATGTCTCCCTATACTTCAGCCATAGGGAGCATCATGTATCCCATGCTGTACACTCGGCCAGACATTGCTCAAGCCGTGAGTGTGGTAAGTAGATATCAGTCAAAACCCAGGACATGAGCACTAGATAGCTGTGAAAACATACTGAAATACCTTCTAAGGACAAAAGGAGTTTTGTCTGGTATTTGATGGTAGTTCACTACAGATCGTTGGATATACTGATACCGACTTCTATTCAGACCCAGATGATAGAATGTCTATATCTGGTTACATCTTCACGATGGGGTCATGTGTATTAAGAATAACAGTTCACAACCCAAGTCGAGCACAATGTCGTAAGTGAGGTTGCCTATGGATGAAGTGGTTAATCTTAGAATTTGGAATCCTACCACTATTGTGTGACAACACTATTGGTAGAGGGGACGTCTAGATTCAAAAGGTAGAATCAGCGAAGAATGTGGTAGACCCATTAACTAAGCCATTGACACAGAAAGTGTTTGAGAAACATGTGGAAAGTATGGGACTCCGGCTTGTACCCGATTGAACATAAGTGCAAGTGGGAGTTGTTAGATAGTGTATGCCCTTAGCTCCAATCAGCTTGATGTACATTATGACATTTATTGTAAATGAAAAAAGTACATATTTGATTCATGTTATATTGGTGTGTTTCTGTGTAATACCCTTAAACTGGACACTTATGAGACTCGTGTTAGTTTAGAATCTTTACAGCCATTGGATAGATCTAGGGAGATTTATCCTACCATGGCTGACACTGATGTACTGCCAAGTGGGTTGGAGTGGCTTGTCTCAGCTGCCAGGGTGAGACCTGAGGCACATGCAGTGTGGATTTGCTTGAAACCTTAAACCGGACCAAATTCCAGTATTGCCCTAGACCTTGGAGATAGATGGGCAAACTAGAATGTTACACCTGACCCCTAGACTCGATTATGGTACAGTACAAGGTGTCGGATTGGACTGTCTTTGATATGCCAATCAGTGAGATCCTTAGCGGGGGTCAAAACCTGAGTATGTTGGGACAGTTTAAGAATTCACCTGAGTGGGTGATCATAATGATAGGATCAGCCCCTTTGTCAAACAAAGTGAATGATCAGAGAATGCACTCTCTCTCATGAAACCTAAACTACTGGTAATTGATTTCAAATTGTTGAGATTTGTTTTTGCAAAATATATTTATATAGAGATATACATATATATTATAGTTTCTCAAAATGTTTGCACAAGGTTTTAATTCCCGGGATCCATGTGAGTAAAGAGTGAAGCATTGTACCTTGCAACCGAGGGAGAGGTCATCTCTTGCCGGGCAGTGTTTGATCATTAAGGGATGAGAGGTTAAGTGTAAGACCATTGAGGGTAATACTTGATGGGCTAATCTTGCATCTGCCCACAGTCCTTGAGCCTTCATAAGGTGGCTGGACCCAAGGACCATTTAGTGTAAATGCCATGTCCATTAAGAGCCCATACTGATGGACTCAGGGGTTCACTGTGTTCTGTAGTGAATTCGGCCAGGCCTTGTAAGAGAGGTTGGGCTGAACCCATCTGGCTGATGTGTAGATCAATGCTAGGGTCCCATACCATACAAAGAGAGCCAAGCTAGCCAGCATTTAAAGGGAAAGTGAGCTATGTGACTAAATGGGCCTAAAGCCCATTTCGAACTGGGCATAAGTGAGTTAATTAAATAGGGGCGAATTCTAGTTTATAATCTTATTAGGATTAGCTAAACGATAAGATAAGTCTTATCCATTTAAGAGTCCAAATCTAAATATCATATTTGGATCAAGAAACTCTTTTCTAATTGGATTAGGAAGTTAATCCAAAGAAGACTATAAATAGGGGCAAATTCACCAATTTATGCACTCAGCAATCTGCAAAATCCTCCTCCAGTTCTTGCCGCCCCTACCCAGTTCGATTTCCACTTTTGGATCTGATCAAGAATAGTTCTTGATATTGTTTCTTGCTAGAAGAAACAATCTAAAGTCATGCTCACCAGCCCCTTGTGTGATTCTTGCTGAAGAATTAGGGTTCTTGCTGAAGAACCACTTTGTTGATCCTAACTCACTATAAGCTGTGTCATCTTCAGTGGAGGCGGGTTTTGGTCACCTCTTTGGCCATGAACACCTACGTTGGGAGTTACTGTTATTCCGTACCAGGTACATTCCTATTTGCTTCCTTTTGGTTTCAAATTTGGTTTGGTTTATTTGAAGAGCGAACCTTTAAAATGCAGTTTTAGGGAATAGGATTCCCGGATGGGAGAAAGAAATTTTTGAAATTTCACACAGCCACCCTGCATGGTTCGGCCATCCATATGATGGGTCTCCCATCTTCAACTGTAATAAGGGTTACTAAGTTTACTCTGGCAACTAGACTGCTCTATGTAGGTCATTGTGTAACAACGGGTAGCATGGTAATTTGAACTGTAATGTTGTCCCAAAAATTAAAGGGGCTTTTATAGTTCAGTCCACCCCTAAGATGGAGTTAAGATTTCTAGGGTGGACTAAATCTTGCCTGTGGATTGATGCCAAATTCACAGGCAGGATGTGGTTTATAGGGGGCTACTAATAGACTAGGAGGGGGCTGCAATTTCAGATTTTTGAGGTGGATTGCAGTCCACTTATCCCAAAATTATTTTAAAATGCAAAGGGTAAAATGAACCTTTTGTCTTTTCCATCCATCCTATCAGCCTCACTTCTTATGGTTTGGATATATGTCACACCATAAATGAATACAACTCAAATCAGTTCCATGTTATTTTCCACATAATTTAAAAATAACATGTTTATAACCCAAAGTTTAAGTATTAGATCAAAATACTATTACGATAATTAAGGATGACATTGAATGTTTTTTATTAATTTGTTTAAGTAATGAATGATTGAATGTTTATTTTCCCATATCTTTACCGCATCATAGATTTTCTCTTTGATTTAAGTTAACCATGTTGATTCTAGTTAAACACATCACCTAATATAGAAATTAAATAATAGACTAATAACTAATTGTGTTAATTCAGGTTACGTAGGTTGTGTCTTGTTATTCATGCAATAAACATGCTATGTTCATGTATCGACCCATATATCTGAGTACCCCTTCCTTGATACGACATTAAGATAACACGAGAACATGAATTGATAGATAGTTCATACCCCAAACCCATAACCCCCCAAATCCTGGTGGCGACACATTTGATCTCAGGTCTTGGCTACAAATAAACCAGAGGACATACCAACCAAGGGTAGAGCTAGGGGTGGAAGAGGGGAGCCATGGCCCCTCTTATGCCTTAAAAATCCCATAATCCCCATTTATTTGCCACTAACCCAAGTTTTTTAACTTTTGGCTACTCTAAGAAGAAATACTGGCTCCGCCCCCTATGGCGTAGCCACTAATTTTTTTCTAGTGGAATCATTCAATAACTTGAAAATGACACTATTCAAAGAGTGAAAACATTTGGTTTGGGTTTTTTTTTTCCTTTCTCTATCTTCTTTTTAATTGTATTTTAGTTGCCATGTTATGACCAAAATACTCTCTACTCCTTTTATTCATTTCGCATTTCAAAATGTCAAGTTTTTTTTTTTTTTTTTTGACATTTTTCAACTGTCCAATTCATAGTTCAATTAGCCTAATAATCCAAATAAAATGTCCAAATTGATGCCCTCCCTCTTATATTCTTTTAATCTTCTCGGGATTAAATTTGGAAAAATGAGCTGAAATAATGCATAAAAGGTCATTTCTTTTAATGCATAAGAGGGAGGCCATCAATTTCAGTTCCCTCTTATAGTTCATTTCTTTTAATATTTTAACCCACTAAAATACATGTAGCTCTGTCACTAATACCAACTAAGCCACCATCCATCARTTCCTGAAACCTCAAACATACTTAAAATTATAAAAAGGTCCTAGCTTGTTTGCCTAATTAGAACTTCTTGGTAATCTTCGCATAAACTTGTCGAAGTCCTCATGGTTTTCAAAACCAGATCGGACTGGACAGTCAGACCGGAAAAATCGATAACCGGTCAGCCCTCTGGGTCCGGTTATACTATAAACCAGCAGTTCCTTAAAAAATGTTGAAAAAGTCAAAAAACTGCTGACCCGGATGGTCGAACCGCTAAATGATTCGACCCAAGCAGCAGTTCATGGATTATAATTTTTTATTTTCGTTGATTTAATAAAATAAAAAAAAATGAAAAATTAAATGACTACCCTATCCCCGACCCAAATCTTACATGCTTAGGGTTAGAACGACCCCCATTTTTTTCTAACCCTTTCCTCCTCYCAGCCCTCACACCCAATCGACCACCTGCGGCGGCCACACCTACGGCGTCCGATGGTAGTGAGCTTCATCTACAGCGGCAGCATTGATTTTGCAGCAGATCCAACTGTCCAGCAATAACAGTTGCGGCAATAACAGGTCCAGCGACCAGCAGCAGCGGGCGATTTTGTGGGGTTTCTACTTTCTAGTGGCAGTAACAAGTTGCAGGCTTGCAGCGGCAATCACCTGTGACGAAGCCCGAGCCCACCGTCACACCACCAAGCCCGAGTCCACCGTCGGACTCCAAGCCCTCCTGTCTTTCCAGTCTTCTTTGCGCCAAAAGGCTTCTTAACAGTGGTGATAACAACTGTATGAGTAGAAGCTTTAGGTGATACAGTCACATCAGGAGTTTCACACTTTTCACAAGAATTTTCTTTTGAGATTTCATAAATTAATCTTGACATCAGGCAATCTATTAGATACATGAGCTGACTGAGAAGCAACAAGAGATGAGGGCAAAGATTTGAACTGGGGCCTAGGGTTTGAGATAAAATCATGCACATGGAGCCTATATCATCAATGAACACTCAAGTATTCTGTACACATGGAGCCTACATAAAACCCTTATCCTTATCATAAAGAACACTGACATGTATATTCATGATAGTTGCTAACCTGATATGTATGATTTTGTCTCCCACCAATTAATTAAGTAGACCCGCCGGAACTGATGAAGAAGGTAAAAATAATAARGTAAGAAGGGGATGATGAATGTTCGCCGCCTGAACCAAATTCACGAAACACCGAAACCACAGAACTGGAATTCGATCGACAGAGAAAAGCCAGTTGGTCAGGAGAGAGCGTTCCGGAGGTCAGATTTTTTTTTTTCTCTTTATCTTCGAGTTTCTTTTCTAACTATTGTTTGATGTTGGATAATCGGTGTTCGATTAATGGACTAAACGGATCCGATCTTTTATTTAGCATTTTTTCTGATTTTTTATTCATGCATTTTCTAGAGATTTGGTTCCACTATTTGGGTTTATTTATTCTTTTTTGTGAAATATAGTAGCGGAAATCATGAACAAGCAGCTTGATGTTTCAAAATGGGCAAATGGATTACATGGAAAGAAGAAAAAATAATCACATAATTTGCTAATGTGGCAGGTTTTTTGTTTTCAAACACCTCCTAAGTTTTCCACTGATTCTTTCCCTTTTGTGTTTTTCTTAATTGAATGATCTTGATTTTTTTAAGTACATGCTAGAATTTCTACTTTAATTTTCTATAATCTACATTCTCTGGTCCACTTTTGCTTCCTTTTCTACTTTATTTTACTTCATTAAGCTTCTTGCAAACAAACACATAAAAGTAAAGTTGAAATAAGAACAAATCAGAATTTACACCTCACATCATTTACACTCTAAATTTGCTCCASTGCAAATGCGATTGACTGCAAACAAATTTCTTCTCTATCCAGTAAAGATTAGTATTGTACTAGAATCAAAAACTCAACTCATCTTCTTAAACCATTCTCTTGCCATTGAGAAAGCATCGAAGTGATTATTTGATTAGATGAAATTGTATTGTTTAATTTGTTTTGGAAAACGTATAGGTATAGCTGAGGTGACAACAACACAAACAGCAAAAGCAGCTGGTTCTAAGATATCATATCCACTAAATCAAATTCAAACAAAATGAAGGCCCAAAACCTAAAAGAGCTAATTGTTTCTCTCAAAAGCAAATCGCCTCCACTACTCACCTTCTCCAGGCAAGAGCTCGAAACTGCAACCAACAACTATGCAGAAGACAGAGATTTGGGATATAATCTCTACAGCGGAATCGATGAACAAGGTCGTTCTATTTCCGTCAAGAAGTTGTATGACAATGAATCCATCATAAATGAAGTTGCAGTTGCATCCCAAATAACTAACCACAACAACATACTGAAACTCCTGGGTTTCTGCTGGGAAACCGAATTCCCCACGCTCGTGTACGAAGATACAAGCAACGGACCTCTCTTCGATCACATCATCGAGGACCCATGGTTCTTCTGTTGTGTTGAGGGAAGGAAAACTGCATGCCCGAAATTGCCATGGGAGACCAGGCTAAGGGTAACAACCGAAATTGCAGACACTTTAGTCTATCTCCACACCGCTACTTCAAACCCCATCATTCATACGTCCATAAACCCCAAGATTATTTACTTAAACAAAGACTACGTCGTCAAACTTTCTGGGTTCAATGATGCATTATGGATCCCCAAAGGAGAAACATTTGCAGAAACCAAGAAGACTTGGTGCTCTACTTTCACAGCTCCTGAGGCCTGGCCTAGCAGAAGGTTTACAGAGAAGAGTGATGTTTATAGCTTTGGCCTTCTTTCACTTGAGGTCTTGACTGGTAAGGAGACTTTTCGTATGACCAACGAGGTATCTGATTCTGATTTGGTAGAGGAGAGTGAAGGGGCTATTCACTTGTTTCGCCGAAACTGGAATAAGAAAGATATTGAAGTGTATTTGAACTCGAACATCCTCAAGGAAGGAAACAAGGAGCAGCAAATGGCATTTCTGGGAGTTGCCTTGAGATGCGTGAAATCTAAGCCTGAGGAGAGGCCTACAATGACAGAAGTTGTACAGGAACTTAGACAGATTAAACAGTTGCAACCGTCTTCGATTTCCTGTGAGGTAATGTCAATGTGCTCTACACAATTCATTTCTTTACTTGTTCTTTTTCCTTTTTCTGTTGAAATCATAAAAGAATGGAACTTRTTAGATTTGCAGAGTAGATGTTTGGCTATCTAATTCTTTTTCCTTTATAGCTTGCCTTTCAATGTCTCTCTCAGGAGGAAATAGATATTGTTGCAACTTTCAGGTTTGGGTCTCATAGTTTTCCTTCCAACGTTCTTTTTGTTTGGATGACAGGGAAGTTCATCAAATGGCCGTGAGGATGAATAGAAGCGCTATATTCTGCTTTATGATTGTCAAAGGAAGATGGCTGTTAATAAGTTACTAGGACGTTTGTAGTAGGATGGACCGAAGGAGATCATTTGTGCCCCACTTTTGAACTTCATTTTCTATTTCTAAGTTGATCGGATGTGTTTGTTTCTTTAGTTGATACTTGATAGATCTTTATAAGTTAATGTGGAAGAAAAGAAAAGACTCTCCCTCTCTCTCACACACATATTTCTTTCAAGACAAATTAAACATAATTATGCTAGGTTTGGCAGATGAGACTTRGCCAAATTACAAATCTACTCAGGGCAAGACGATTCAAAATAATTAACCCTGATCCTTAGAACGTTGCTTAGCTAACATATGGGCCACAACATTACATTTTCTATTGAGCCACAGAGCCATAAATTTTCCTTTGCACATTTCAGCTTCTATCCCGATCCACACCATTACAAGTTTACAAATTTATGTTTCAATTCGAAATTTGGACTTGATCATATGGTGGATAACATTGATTATCATAATGTTTGGTAGCGTGGACGTTTTTTAGATCGATTTTTAAGAAAAAACACCTATGCTTTTAAGACCCGTTTTTCATAAAAAAAAAACATTTCTGCCAAACAATTTGGTCTTGCGACCCATTCAATGATTTTATGATGGGATCATAATATCATATCATATAATGTTTAAAATATTTTTTATGGTTCTAAACATAGAAGCCCGGCTTGGCACGGCAGATGTTCTCCTCTAGTTACCGCTCTCCATGCCCAAATTTGGCATAGTTTTGGGTTAAGCCCAAAATTGTTATTCCTATATATTTCTAGTGTCTCTTGGAATTAGAGAGATGAAACACCGGAAGGTTTGGCCTGATTCTTCAAATCAGGTGCTAACATTAATACATTATGAAGCACTGTTTTGGTTCTGTTTTCCTCCAAAACCATTTTTTTTGGTCAGTAAACCACTGAACCGGCTGGTTAATCATTCGAACGGTTTTGACCGTTTTGTAATTTTTTAAATTTTTTTATTTTTTTGTCTGAATGGGCTGGCCGTTCAGGTCAAATGGTCGGACCGTTCGAACCAGTAACCGGACCCCTGACCGGTTCGTTTTTAAAAACCATGTTATGAAGAGAAGAGACTATATATGCTGTGCGCCCATTAACTATAAACTTTCAAACAAGTAGCTGACTCRTGACAATTTGGAAATTTTGGGAGCCTGTTGGTATGGGTGCAAGTTGGGGCGGGTTAGATCAGGTCGAGGTCAACCTTAATCCAACCCAAGGTTCTGAACCCCCAACTCTAACCTGAACCCAACCTAAAATCCCTTATTCATAACCCAACCTAACCCAATGTCAAGTTGAATTGGGTTGGATTGGGCTCGGGTTGGGCTCAATAAGGGGCTATTTGATAACAGTTGAAAATACTGAACTGAAAATTTTATAGCTTTGTTTTTAGTGAACAAGATTTTAAAGAGGTTGAGAACTCATTAATGGCTGAAACGGATGTTGGGCAGATCATTACATCCTAATTAAAAAAGATAAGCAATAAGTCTCTGAGTTCAGAAAATTCATTATTAAACAGTCCCTTAAAATCTCCCAAATTCTCTTAATCATTGACTAAGAGACCAACTGAATTTTTATGGTTTACCATAATTTTTAACGGTAATTTGCTTGTTTCTATTTGATTTTTTAGAACAAAACTGAAAAAAAAAATAAATATTTCAAATGGTTAGAGTATACCATGAAGTATAATAGTAAATACATAAAAACCTAAAATCATGAAATCAGCAATAATAAAACACGAAGTTATAGTAGAATTTCGTTGGGTTACCAAAGAAGTCAATCCTAACCCAACCTAAAGTGAAATTGGGTTGGGCCGGTTGGCAAATTCAATCCTAACCGTAGACCCACAATTAACTCGACCCAACCTAACCTCACCTTTAAGTGTAGAAAGGTGGTATTTTATCAAAAGTTTTTGCCTCTTTTGATAAGCATGTTTCATCTTTTATTCGTTCATGTCCTTCTAAGGAAATGTTCGGTAATGTAGATGAGAAATTGGGTGGTGTGGATGAAAACACACCACACCACAACACGGTAGTTGCTCTAAACTATTGACAAAGAAGTGTGGATTGAATTACACTGCACCCCCACAAGTGTTCTACAACGTGAGGAGCATGTTAGTCCACACCCTATGTTCCGATTCCATGCACCTCACCTATAACATGTAGGGCTATAATCAGATCAGACTTGGATCAAATGCAGCAAAATCCGCATCTGATTTGACTACTGAGAACCTACATCCGAATCTGATTTGATATCTGATCAAATTCGGATTTAACTCGACTCTACTTTCAATTTTTTAAAACACTAGAAAAATTAAAAAATTAATTATTTTTCAACTTTTATACATAATAAAATTATGTAAATATAACATACTAAAGTTATTATACATATAAATTCATATATAATATAATATAATATAATATAATATATAGAATATAATTTTATAATTTTAAATATAATTATATAATATTTATATATTAAAGTTAATAAATATTATAATATAATCAGACTCAAATGGGTCAAACTTGACTTGGAGGGTTCAACTATTGACCTATTCAACCCGGTCAGTGGGTTACAAGTTGCATACTTAATGCATGTGCAAACTTTTGGAGGCCATAACTTTGCACTCTGAAATCTGATTGAGGTGATATTCTTTTATTTCGGGTAACTTTTTAAGATCTATGTGTCCTAAGGTGTCGTAGGTGCCTTGTCCCGCTATTTTTGTGAAGAAACCCTCTTTGTCCTTGAATTGTAATTTTTAACATTTTTAATAAACAAAAGAACTAAAACTGAATTAAATATAAAATAACACATATATTATATGTAAAACATAATTGCACACTATTTAGTTATTTTTAAATTATTTATATTTTATATTCTTATTATCAAGTATTATTAAAGTTATTATAATTATTTTTGTGTTTTTGATCATTTTTAAAGTTAAAACATAATTTCGTTATTTTTTTTTTTGTTTTCGAAATAATATATAGAATATGATTTGGTTATTAATATTTTGATATTTAAAGTGTTTAAAATTAGTTATTTAAAATATTAATCAATTATTTAAATAAAACTACTATTTAAATTTTAAAATATTAATTATTTACTAAATTTAATAATCCATAAAATTATAATTTATACTATTATTGCATAATTTTTTTATTAATTTTGTAAAGTATAAAATTATTATTAATTCAAATATTATGAAATCTATTATAATTATTTTTCTACTCTTAAGATTTTTTTATAAATATATTACATATTTTTTTTTATTTTAACTATTTAAAATTTAGTTATGTTAAATATTTTATTATTTAAATATTTCAATAATATGTAAAATATGTAAATTTTTTTGTTATTTGAATTTTAATATTTTGTTATACAACTATTCAGCTATTTTTAATATTTTTTTATTTGAATAATCCATAAAATTATAATTTATATTGTTATTACATAATTTCATTATGAATTTCATAAAAATATTTATTAATAATATAAATATTATTAAATCTATTATAATTATTCTTTTGTATTTTTAATAAATATTTTAAAATTATTGCATAATTTCATTACAATATTTAAATAATTGCTAATTTTTTTAATTGAAATTTTCTTTAGATAGACATAGATGAAAAGTGGGAAGAGGATAACTAGGAATTATAGATAGTTAGAGATACTTTAGGAGAAAGTGGACTATAGTTAGTCTCCTAATAAAAATAAAAGGAAAAAGGGGGATAAGCCATGTTGAGGTAAATCCATGGGCTTCTATAGGGAATCTTGCACCCCTCTAATGGAGCACAAAGAGGCCATCTGACGTGGCATAACATTAATTTAGTATATACTAGTAGGGACCCATTTAGTGCACGGATCTTGTTAAATGAAATTAAAACATAGAAAGCCCTATATATGACATTTACAATTGAGTCAATTCCATCTAGGGATGGCAATTTTCCCTATCCCCAACAAATACCCAACTTCCCCAACCCAATGGGGTTGGGACATGGGGATTTCTTTGGAGAAGCGGGCACGGGGGTGGGGATTAATAGGGATTCCCGGCCATAGTTGGGGTGGAGGATGGGGAATGAGGTCCCCGCCCCACTAGAAGGGACCTGTGCAATGCACGAGGTTTATTAAGCGAAAGTTAAACAATACAAATACATAAGAGTATACAATTGCTTTATATTTTAATTTTTTAAATAATTAATAATTATTTATATTTTATATACGATTGTCAATAATTTTTTTGCAATACAAAAATAACAATAATTAATTTCAGCTAGGATGGTTCATCAAACTAATGAAACCAACTAACCTGACCTAAGTTGACTTGAGTTGGTCGGTTTTCTAGTATTTTCTTATCAGCTTTGGTTTAGCAATTTCCTAACCCGACTAGGTCAGGTAGTTTTGGTTTGGCCATTTGTAAACCGACCAAAATCGAACCTACCTGACCATAGATATATAAATATTTTATATTTTAAATATAATTTTAATATGAAAAGTGGGAAAATTCTCATATTTCTTAGTCTTAAATGTTTTATATTATAAATTTAAATTATTTATTTATTTTTTAATAATATTGTTATACTTTTTTGTAATTTAAAATTAATTTTTAAGTTTAATTTTTTTGAGTCAATTGACCAAATTGATACAATCTGAGTTAGCTCGGGTAGACCTGTACATAGATAGGCTTAGGTTGTGCCTTTCCTCTTTTTAAACAAAAAATGACTAAACCTGAGCCTAAGCCTGGCCAGACCATAAGGCCTAGATCTTGAGACCAAGCCCGAAGCCCGATCTATACAAATATCAGGTCATGCTTGGAATAGGCTTATTTAGGAAAGCCCAATCCCGACCTGATGTTTAAAGACTAAGCCTGAGCTCGTGGGCTTAAAGCGTTGTCCAAGTGTTGGGCTACCCAGCCCATGAACATCTAGTTTCAGGTGACCAACTCTCCAATGTAACCAAGTTGATTTAGTTGGTTGGCCAAATAGCTTTCAAATGAACTGAAAATGACCTATGAACCCTCCTAATTTTGGCTAAATTCATAGTTTAGTCTCTAATAAATAGCAATAGTTTAATCTCCAATAATTATTGAGAATTTAAAGAGAAAATGCACAATTATTGAAAATAAATTTATAATGAAAATACAACAAATAACTAACAAATATACA